GGTTACAATTTACACTTTTGCCCTCCACACCCTTAACTGACACAGAGCAAGACACCTCCCATGTGAGGACCTCTGACATAGCGGATTCTACCAAGTGTTTGCCTCTATCTTTTGTACTTTTCAAAATGAATGATGAAAAGTTACACTTACAAAGCAGTAGCCTAGGCTACACCATGGTACTTTGATATAGGCCTAGGCTACAGGCTACTGAATTATTATCAAATGTATGGGATTGTGTGTGGAACTCCAAGGTATTTCAAAGATTAGTGTAGATTACAATGATCAAAAATCTGTAAAAGCTGACCAGACCAAGACGTTCCTTAAAAGTCACAGATTTAAAACAAAACACCGTAGGCCTATGAGAGGATTTTTGTTTGCTTGTTTTACCTGTATGTGAGTCCGACCGCAAGAAGACACAATTTTACAGTGTATGCCTAATAATTATGTTGAAGTCTTCTGAGGTCATTTTCACTACAATCGATACAATGCATCGTAGTACGGCGGCAGTTCACATTTGAACACGGTAAAAATCCGAGAGACATGATGAAGCAAGTAGTGCCGGTTGACCAATCAAAATCAAGTAGGCTATTGATGAGCGCCGATATTAATCTCTATTAGTGTAATGCATTTTTTTCACGTCATATTCGAAGAACTTAATAACAACAACAAACAATAAAAGGGTAAGATAGCCTATGGTAATATGCAATGTAGGCTACATTTAGCCTGCTACTTTAAAATTGTAACATAGAATCGTCAGGATGATTGATGATGATGCATTAGCCAATGCGATATTAAGGTAAATAAATAAAACATATTAATTTACAACTTACCATTAAATAAATGCTGTAAAAATTGTTCATTGCTATTTATGGCTACCAATATTAGCCTAGATGATGCAAAAGTAAACTTCCAAACTATTCTGTGACTTTGGCCTACTAAAGAATGAACAGCAATGTTACGTTGTAAAATACCACACTAAATGAAATTTAAAACTGTCCAGGAAGAGCACAACATCATACATTTTTGTTAGCCTACACCACCTGTTTAGTTTAGAAAGGCGTTTGTTTACCTTACACCGCTAAGGTGGTTAACCATTACCTATTTTGCCATGTTTTCTTATGGATCAGTGATATGAACAGGACACACACTACAGTCTGAAATGCAACAAGGAGAAGTGTTGACTGAGATGAGTTCCTTCATGACCTTCCATTGAAGACAGCTTTGGTTATTTTTATCATGACTGAGTGGAGCACACCACACTTGAAAGTGATTCTTATCGGAAACTCTGGGTGAGTGTCTGTCTTAGAAAGTAATGATGGTATCTAGTAGTAAAGCATAAAGCACATAATTGAATAACAGCTTTTCCAGCATCCTATTATATTCCAGAAAAAAATTTCAAGAACAAAGACATTAATTCTACCCTTCAAAGGCTTGGTATCATTATGACGTTTTTAGGTTTCTGAAAGAATGCGATACTTTTACTCACCAAGGTTGCATTATATTGATAAAAAAAATATATATATATATATATATATATTGATTGACAGTTGACAATATTGAAATACATTTGATTTAGTTTTAAAGATTACAAAAAGTTTTCTAAGACATGAGTAGCTGCTTATAATGTTTAAAAAATATGTGAAAAAATCAGTTTAAATGCATTTCAAGATGTTTTAGTGATTCCAAACTTTTGAATACCGTATGTGCGACCCAAAAACAAAAGCCTATCTAGACAAAAACAAGGAAGTACTGCAAGTAGCCTAACTAAAAGAAGTAACTCTAAACATGAAAAACCCTCAACAGCTGCTTGTGTTTCTGAAAAGTTTGTCATTTACAAAGGGAGCTGGTTCTGTAACTCAATGTCAATGCACTATATGCATTATTTGTAGTTAATAGTATAATTTACCAGTCAATTCTCTGGTCAGTTAGATGTTCCTATTTCTTTTTGTCTGAACAGAGTGGGAAAATCTTCATTTATGACCCGGTTTGTTGACCATCGCTTTACTAAATTGTATCGTGCCACAATTGGGGTAGATTTCCTTGCTAAAGAAGTCACTATTGATAAAAGATCAGTGATTCTTCAGGTGAGATACATTTACATTCATTTAGGCCTATGTTAAACCCACAAGATTTAAAACATAAAAGAAAACCATTCACTTCATGCCATACACAGGATCCACAGATGCTTTCATTACAAAACAAAAAGATCTCAACTGATTGAACAGGGCTCCACAAACTGTCATGCAGTACTCAGCTGTTTTTGCACTAGATCTGGGACACTGCAGGTACAGAGAGGTTTCATTCCCTGGGTACCGCACTATATCGTGGAGCTCACTGCTGCCTCCTAGTGTTTGATGTTACCTCGTCCGTCTCCTTCGATGCATTAAGGCCGATTTATACTTCTGCGTAGGGTGCGCGCAGTAGGTACGGCGTAGCATACGCACAGACGCGTCCCATTGCGCGTACCCTTCGCCGTCGCCTGACGCGCACCTCCTCAAAAATGTAACTACACGTCGCGACGACGCGGACCGCAAGATCGCTGATTGGTCGGCTTGGTAGCATCGCATTTCCTCCTACGCATTTCCGCACGTACCTTCTCACGCATTTCCATCACTGTCTATGATTTCCACACGTACCATCTCCTCCGACGTCTTCTCTCATTTCTGCCTTTCAGTTTTAGTAATTTCACTAAAGTGAACTGTTTTTCCACCTCAATAAGCTCCAACTCCAACATGATCCACTCTCTTTCAATCGCTATTGCTTGTAGTAACCTAGCCGCGAGGAATCTAAACACAGTGGAACATTAAAACTCTCCGCCGCCAACTAGCGTTTCGGAGCAGTACTGCAGAGCAACAAGACCTGAACGCAGAAGTATAAATGCTCATAACGGCGTCGCCTACGTGCGTAGCCAACGCCGCACATTACGGCGTACCCTCGACGCAGAAGTATAAATTGGCCTTTAGACGTCTGGAAGAAAGAGTTCATGGTGCAGGCATGTCCTTCTGACGCCACTGCCTTCCCTTTCATAGTGCTCGGCAATAAAATTGATTTGGATCATCGTGAGGTTAGCCAACTCTTTTGCATTATGAGCTATAGATCTAAACCTGGTTTCACAGACAGGGTTTATATTAAACCAGGATTAGGCTTTAGTTAAAACATTGTTTGCACCTTGAGACAAAAGAGTGGCACTGACATTAATTTAAGATATCTCAGTGCAAGTTGCTTTCAGTTGAAACACCTCAAACATACAATTTAGTTTGGGACTATGCTTAAACTTTGTCTGTAAAACCAGGCGTTAATGTATTACTTTGCTTATAACTGATTTGAGGATTTGATTGACAGGTGTCTCCAAACAAAGCCCAGCAATGGTGCAGTGAAATCGGAGCTGAATATTTTGAATGTAGTGCCAAGGAAGACGTTGGCGTGGACACGACCTTTCACAGTGCAGCACGAGCTGCCCTGCAGTATGTGAGTTCAATCATTTTGTATAACCAAGACTAAAGAAGTATTTCAACAAATATTCCCCTGATTTTACAGACAAGGCATAAACCAGCCCCGGACTAAAATACATGTTTGAGCTGTTTTATCTGAACGCAACTTGCACTGACAGATCTTAAAATATATCAGTGCCATTGTTTTGTCTTAAGATGCACACAACTAATGTTTATTCTAAGCCATAAATGCCCTAACTGAATTAAATTTGAATCCTGGCTTAATCTAAGCCCTGTCTGTGATACCAGGCCATTGAATTTAGTTTTTGATCAGAGATACTAGCCAGTCCTGACTGAATATTTAATAATCAGCTTGACCAAAAAAGCAGTATTAGGTAACAGTTGTTTGTGCCACACTCTCTACAGTTTAAAAGCCACCATGTGGAGAATGGAGAAGACATCCAGATTATACAGAAACAACAGGATAAGAAGCCAAATAAAAAATGCTATTGTTGAAGCAAGGACAATCTCTTGTGCTACTATTCTGTGTTTAAGTCAACATTAAATCAAGTTATTTTTTTATGAAATATTGCATTATTTATTATTAATAACTTATCTGTGCACATCTTTTTTTTTTTTGCCATTTATGAAGATGGATGTACAGATATATACACACTCACCTGAAGGATTATTAGGAACACCATACTAATACTCTGTTTGATCCCCTTTCGCCTTCGAATGCCTTAAAGTGATACTCCACTTTTTTTTGGAAATAGGCTCATTTTACAACTACCTCAGGGTTAAACATTTGGGCTTTACCGTTCTCGAATCCATTCAGCCAATTTTCTGATGTTTAGAAGAATATCAGTAACCAGAGAGTTTCTGGTCTCATTGACTTCCATATGTAAGATTTATCAAAAAAAAAAAAAGTTTTTGATGCATGTGTGAAAGACTTTAGTAAGAAAAATAAAACCTCTTGAACTACTTCATATGAATACTATGCTGGGATATCATTCCTTTATTTCAGAAGAAATATATCCATGTTAAATGCAAACGAGTTAACCGCCTTATCCATTTAGCTCGAAGGGCGTCTCATCAAATATAGCTACTAAAATTCACAATTCTGGAAGACACTGGGGATGAAATTAACTCCCAGAATGTGCTGCATGAAACTAAAAGAAATTGCTAATAATTAATCAGGGAGACAGTTTATATATTTCGGTTTCTTTTATAAGTCAAGACAAAAAAGGCAATCAGGAGATGACCAACATGTAAAAACGTTGTACAGGTAAATATATAAAAGGCCAGAATATCATCTTCACTTCTTGCGGTATGAATGAACTATATTACAGTCAAATCCGAACTTGGCTTTTACCAAGAATGAGAACGGCCAGCCTCACCCACATGGAGACATACAGGTATACACTGAACATTTAGTTTGCATACCTCTCAGATAATCAAAAGGGAAAAAAAGTAGAAATTCATCTTCACATGGATAATTTCCTTCACAATCTAGGGCAGAGAAAATTCTACAGTTACATTGTGAAAAAGTTAAGAGGACAAGCCAGAGAAAGGGAAAAAGCTGGGTGTTTACTAATAATGGCGGTGTGGTAAAGTGAGGAATTGGAAAAAAAATAATACGATTTTTACATCTCAATGTTTGGCATACACAAAAAGAGTGGAAACAAGCATAGAAAAACTCAGTAAACAAAGTAAAAGCCCTTCAGATGTTTACATTCGTTTACATCCTTTTCAGTTGTTGCACATCACCACTCGGCTTGAGCACAAATACAATGTGTGAAAGTACTTGACAACAGCACAGCCCTCCAAAAGCCTTTCATCCCACAAATCCTTAAACCAAAGTTGGATGGCCAATAATTTTTAAAACAAAAAAAATAAAATAAAAAGTTGTGAGTTAAAAAAAAAGCACACAGACATACACATACACACAGGAGGAAAGCTTTAAAAATACAAAAATAAACTACACAAAAGATCTTCTCCATCGTCGCTCACTAATTTTTTGTGAAGTTTTGCATTTTTCAATTTTTTTTTCAATTTTTTTTTTTTGTATGGCAAATCTGTTTTAGCAAAGTCTCTGTCCTACCGGTAATGTACTTCTTCCATGGCCATTTCTTTATCTGCAGTTCTGCCTCTAATTCTGCTTAACGCAAAAGTGCAGACTTCACCAGAAGGCTTGAGTCCAGAACAAATCCGTACGCAGATCTTATTTCACATAGCCATTTGAGTGAAAAAAATCCCCTCTTGTCTGAGGACAAGTGCTTGGTTTGTTTTCCCCATTTCTGTTCCCCTCACATGAAAATGACTCATCTGCATTCAGAAATCCTCCCGCCATGTCCACATATTTAATGTGAACTAAAACTTCACCCTGAAGTCCATCACAGAAAAGGGTCACTTCATTTGAGCCCAACTGACAGAATGAACATTACAAATATCTTAAAACTGGTATTTGAATTCACTGAAGCAAGATACATGTACTGAAAGAAATGGGGGAGAAAGGAAGACTACAATGGAAAATGCAAATTAGTTTTTTTTCCCTCCCACTCCAGCTATGTTGAAAAATACTCAAAAATATGCAATGTGCTTTTCTCCATTCATACTATTAACAAGAAAAAAAGCATTCCCTAGAAATTACTTCCTTGTTGTTTTTTTTGCTGTTTTAACAGATGGTTACAGTTGAATCCAGACAGTGGAGCGCTTTGAGTAGTGTAAGTCTTCCTAGTCTTGGAGGATGAATGGAGAGAGGGGCTTATTGGTCCATTCTTGCTTTCTTCTGACCAATCCCTTTCCTGCAATGAAAAATACATATATTAATACTCATTCGTACTCAATGCACTGTTCTGAAATTTAAGGTCAATAAGACTTATTAAAATAACTTCATTTTATTTAGCAATAATGCATTAAAACTGATATAAAGTGACAGTACAAGACATTTATAATGTAAAAAAACAACTAATTTAGTAAATGCTGTTCTTTTGAACTTGATACTCAATGAATATAAATCCTTAAATTACTGTGGTTTTATTTATAACATTAATAAGAAATGTTTCATGATCACCAAATCAGCATATTAGAATGATTTCTAAAAGGTCATGCGACACTGAAGACTGGAGTAATGATGCTGAAACCATTCAGCTTTACCATCACAGGACTGTTAAATTTTAAAATATTATAGTTTAACTTATGTTTCATCAAATACGCTTTTATGATACTGGAGACATGGACACTCACGCATCTGGTGAAGAAACTGCTCTTTTTGGGGCAGGCTTTGCAGAAAGGCCATCTTTGTTAGACTCTACAAAGCAAAACGCAAAAAAAAAAAAAAAAAAAGCAATTGTAAAATCCACCTTGTCACTGGCTGAAACAAATCTTTTCACACCAAAGAAAACCTTTACCTTGCAGCCATCGCACTTGCGTAGCAGGCCCGTAACCTTTCTCGTTGCGAGCGGCGATGCGGAAGATGATAGCAGGTTTGGTGGTATAGTCTATGTGGGCGTTGGACAGGCTGGAGGACTGAACCAGGCAGGAGGGGTTTGGCCCGCAGTACACACGCATGAAGGCAAGCTGGGCCGGGGCCGAGGGTTTCGCCTCGGTGGTCTGGCTGCTCTGGATGGCCAAATACACTGAGTATTCTGTGATCTTCCCTGATGTCATCGATGGAGGCTCCCATGTAAGGTGGGCACCGTCTGGACTCTGAGGAGAGAGTGAAGAGAGTACACATTTATATGGATGTACTGATTCATTTTGTTGTTGCATCAATTACAGATCCTACTGTGAACAAGAATTTTTTTTTTAATATACAGAATAAAGAAATAATACTGTTTTCATTAAGGATGCATTCAATAGAACAAAAGTCACAGTAAATACATTTATATTGTCTCTATTGTATCTATTCCAGAAATTATATTTCTCTGGGGGGTGGGGTATTTCTCTCCATGGTTTTCCCAAATCAGCATAGTAGAATGATTTCAGAAGGATCATGGGACACTGAAGACAGGTAGCCTGGTTAAAGTCAGACCTAAGTCTGGGAACCACATGTTCATTTTCTTGTATTTGAGGTGTGGTTTACGAATGCCCAGAGCCGTTTATTAGGTGCTAAGAACGTCTATCAAATGCACCTGTACATAGCTCATAGCCAATCGGTTCAATGATACCAGATGACATTGTAGGGCGACAGAAATTAGATGAAGAAGCAGACGATGGGTCAGAGATTTGTGTGTACACGATGGAGTGTATCTAATGGTCGTTTCACACCACTGACTTCCATAGTATGAAAAATAATAATAATACTATGGAAGTAAATGGGGCTCATCATCTGTTTGGTTACCAACATTCTTCCAAATCTTTGAGTTTTCTTCTGCTGAACACAAAATATATTTTGAACAACTTGAAGGTGATGACAATTTTCATTTTGGGGCAAACTACTCCTTTAAAATAATAGTTTGGTGTAAATTCAAAATGAAGTGTCAACTGTGAATCAAGTAATCATGACAAGCATCCAATTCGTTTAAACTTTTCCTTATTAAAAAAAAAAACAATCAAAAATTTGTCAAAATAAATCTTTGAAAAACAAAATGATCATGCAATTCCTATTTAAAAAACAGTCACACATTTTATGGTGCTCTTGATTTTAACACCATATGGAACAAGAGGTAATCAAGAGTAAATTAAGATTTGAGGTGTACCTTGCTGATCTTTATGGCACATGGTGCCCCCGGGAACCCTGGTAAACAAGTCTTGAAAGCCGATATTTCAGAAAAGGCTCCACGGCCACAAGTGTTTATACCCGCCACACGGAACTTGTAGGCGGTCCCGGGCTGAAGCTCCACCTTCTTCATCTGGCTGTAGTCAGGGATTGTGCCTGAATCATCCTGCAACATAAAACAAGTTCTGTCAGTATAATTACATTTTGAAATAAGCAATGTCACAGTGTCTAACAATATCGAATGAAGTACAATCTCGTTACGGCTTACCTCAACATAAGTGGAGTCATCTGCAGGCATGTAGAAATGTGTTACAACCATATTGGTCACTTTAACAATGGCAACATCAAACCACTGGTTTTCTTTCTTCACTTGAGGCTTGACTGTAACAGTGGGAGGATTTTGTCTCTGTGGAGAGAAACAACAGAAAACAGGATTTTAAAAAAAATGATTCTTCCACATTCCAAAGCAAATTATCGTGACCCTTTAGCGATTATTAAACTTACCCCAGCCTGAATGCCATTGGCCACTTCAGTGAGAGCTGCAGCTGCCTGCATCTTAGCTGGACTGGAAACTACAACAGGTGCTAATGTGCTGGATGGAGCCAAGGCTACAAAAGGAATAAACAGAAATAAAATGGAACACATGGACAAATATGATGTACCACCCTGATATTTAATTTTAATAAAACCAAGCTTTCAGATATAAACATTACATTCAGACTTTAAAATGTATTCATGGAAAAAAATTCACAATAAGCTTCCATTTCTTAAACATTATTTAACTGCATTAGTTAACAAACCAACAATGAAATGCATCTAAAGCACTTATTGATCTTTATCAGGGTTTCTGCACACTTGTATGTAAGGCTTGTGTAAGGCTTTTTAAGACTCAAAGAAATCAAAATGAATACTTTTCATTTATAAGGGGTGTACAATATTGACAAAAATATGTCTTGATATTTTCAAAGTTTTGTTGATAATTAGATCATATTTTACTGATTGTGTATTTGTGCTTGGTGCCATGGCTGGTTTAGGCCGGTTGACAGCTGACTCAAAGAGTCAGTTCACAGTAGTGACTGCAGTGGTCAGTTCACAGTAGTGACAGAAATTAAAGGGGAACTCCGGCGCAAAATTAACCTTTGGTCTAATTACACATTGGAACATAGTCAACCGTTCTCTGAGATCTGTTTTCATGATTATCGAATGTAAAGAGTTTTATCTCTAAAAACTGTTTAGCTTATAATGCTAGTATATGAGGCATAGAGTAATGAAAATCAAAATCGCTAGTTTATACCACTAACACGGTAGCATAATCAGTGTCCCTGCATGCAAAACGAAGCATTGAGAACGTTGTAAGTGTACAGACGGTTTAATAAGAAGATATTTTATAAAGACAGTCCACTTCGCGAATACAGGCAGGAGCCATCTTTGGAACGCGCCAGAACTTCGCTCAGCGTTCGTGGTTCGACTGCTCGAGACTGTTTTGTCTAAGAATAACTTTCTTAAATACAGCTCCTTTAACAGACTAATACTTTAACAAAAGGTTTGTTCATATGGTAGTTAATTTACAGGATATTGCAACTATAATGGTTCAAAACAACAAACATAGTCAAAACTATTGAAGAGCAAAATGAAACATCACACATACTCTCTGCTGTGGTGCGAGGCAGTAGTCCGACTACTGCACTTGTGGCAGCGGCGGCCATCTCGTTGTGTCCATTGCTTTCTGAGGAGGGATCATTTAGGCTGTCAGCTGGAGCCAGGCCTTCTGTGGGCAGTGCGGCCTGGGCAGCGGCTAGTTGCTGGGCTGCCTGAAGCTGCTGTTGCTGCTGAACCAAAGCCGCCAGTTCCTGCTGGGTCAGAACGATGGGTATGGTGTGGGTCTGCTGGTCTTCTCCAGCATCTCCGTCACCTGAGCCTGAGGGGGAATGAGGAAGAAGATGCTTGCTGTGAGTTTTAGATTGATTTTGTGGTTGGGATTTTGTGGATAAAGGATGGCGACTCACTCATAACAGCCTGCTGTGCTGCTTGTAGTACAGCCTGGATGGCAAGGGCCTGGGCCTCCTCTGTCGCTGCAGCCTGGGCCGCTGCCTCTGCGGCTGCCGTAACAGCCAGCTCCTCTGGGGTCAGACCAGTCACCATCAGCGTTGTGGGCTGTACGTCTGACATCAGCTCTGGTGGCAAGGCCAGTGCCTCGGCCTGTGATGCTGATGCTGCATCTACACCCTCCATCTACAAGAAAAAAGCATTTATTGAAACAGTAATAGAAATTATGTAACATTATAAATGTCTTTACTGTCACTTTTAATGTGTCCATGCTGAATAAAAGTAAAAAGCCTTACTCATATTAGAAAATGAATTATTAAAAGTAGTATGCATTAGTCTTAATTTGCAATGATAACTGGAAATTGTACAGCCAGAATGCAAATGACTATACCTCTGCTGTTGGTAGCTGCTCCTGAGCGGTTTCTCCCCCTGCCATGCTAGAAGCGTCATGCTCCATGGGCACTGCCTCTGCCTCCGCCTGGCTCTCTGCCTCCATCGCTTCCGCCATGGCTTCTCCCTGGAAGTCACTTGGCAAGGCCACTGCCTCCGGCTGGAAGTCACTAGGCATAGCTACTGCCTCCGCTTCTGCCTCCAACCCTGCCTGCATAGCAACTGCCTCTGCTTCAGCCTGGCCTTCTGTCTGCAAGGACTCTGCCTCCGAGCTCTCCATAACAACCGACTCAACTCCTGCCTCTGAGGACGACTCTGTGATGGAAGAAATAGACTGCAGGAAAAGGACAGAGAAAGAAAAATTGGTGATTTTAAACCCTTTTTTTTCCTCAACCCTCCCCTACCAGTTTTTAAAATTAAATTTAAGACTTAAATGTGATTTAACTTTTAAATAACATTTTGCTGTTTCATATGCATTACTACAATTCACATCCTGCCAACCAAAAGATATCTCTGAATGTTTAATTAATATTGTGTTAATACTACTAAGTAAAATAAAAAATTAACGGAAAAAAAAAAAATGAATACAGAGATCATTAACAAGCCCAAAATACACCGGGACGCTTATTTTGAAATGTTCGTGCTTGACTACTTCCAGCTGCTCATTTCTGATTTAAAGTATCTTTGTTTTTAATTTGATTTAAAGTATCTTCTACAATGTATTACAATATAAAAAGCATAAAGTAAACAATCACAATTCAGCAACAGTAGATCATAAGAAATCGTTTGGCATAAATATGCGGTATTCACTGACTGCAAACTGCTCTGAAACCACGAGTCTGTAAAACGTGCAACAGCGCCACGTTTTGACTTTGAACATGCAGAAAATCTATTTAAAAATTCATCTTTATATCATTATTCCTAATTTTAGTTACCAAATTTAAGAACCATTAAAATGACTTATTTGACCATTTAAGACTTTCTATTACCCATACCTTAAATTTGATCAAAATGAACTTAAGGACCCATAAAAATGGGTTGCATTTTGACTTAACGTTTGTCTATTGCATTGGATTAATAATTTAGGATCAAACAGAAGTATAGAGTTTGTTTCTCCACTCACTGGAACAGCTGGTCCGGGTAGAGGCGTGGCCTGTGTGACTGTGGTGATGGCTCTGCTCTGGGGCGCAACAGTGGACGGCAGGCCCTCTGTGCTGGTGGCAGATTCTGAAGCTTCTTCACTCTGCTGGGCTAAACGCACAAAACAAATCATTACCATAAACCTTTAAAAGACAAAATTACAAATGGAAACAAACAAGGAAAAGGAAACTAGTTTGATTTTCCCATGGCAAATTTAATTTAACCAGTTTCATATGCATTTCTGTAAATCACACCCCACAAACCAAAATGATATTAGCGTTCGTATTTTTCAGGTAACTAACAATAACCAGCTACATAGGATTTTTAGTAGCTTTTCAGACCACTAGTCTGAAAGAATGGTGAGAAAATGTATATGGTATTAAAAGAGCAAAGTCATTTCCTTTATTGGTGAACAAATTTGGTGAGATTTCCTAGAATAAAGTAGTTAGTTACCAAGTCAAAATCTCTAACAGCACAAGTAAACAGTGCTTTGTGATGGGCTCAAACTCTTGACAGCAGAGACGTCAGAATGCTCAAACCGTTTTTAGCCAAGGGATATTTTTATAATGTTGCAGAGGATTTCTATTTCAAATAAATTAACTTATATGAAAATATAAATAAACCAATTCTCTTTTTTACTTATAATAGTAAAAATAAATCTTGACCAAATCAACTTGTCAGAATGATTAATAACTAAAGGGTCATGAGACACTGAAGACTGTAATGATGCTAAAAATTCAGCTTTGCCATCACAGGAATCAATTCTATAGTAAGCAGTTATTTTGAATTGTATTTTTGTATATTTCACAATATTTCTGTTTCACTGCATTATAAACCCAACCAAAACTTTGGATTGGTAGTGTAAATAATGTTTGTGTGAAAGCTGAAGATGAATCTTTCTGAAATCTGATGTACCTGTTCCCTCATCTGTCTCCATACTGCAGGTGGCAGTGGTGGCCGTGTTGGTGGTGCCCGTCTCGTGGGTCTCACATGGTGGATTTGAGCAAACACTCTGCTGCACCTCTCCTGTTTGGTTTCCACCCATGTTAGATGAAGCCGTGGTGGCCGTGTTGGTGGTGCCCGTCTCGTGGGTCTCACAGGGTGGGTTTGAGCAAACTCTCTGCACCTCTCCCGTTTGGTTTCCACCCATGTTAGATGAAGCCGTGGTGGCCGTGTTGGTGGTGCCCGTCTCGTGGGTCTCACAGGGTGGGTTTGAGCAAACTCTCTGCACCTCTCCCGTTTGGTTTCCGCCCATGTTGGATGAAGCCGTGGTGGCCGTGTTGGTGGTGCCCGTCTCGTGGGTCTCACAGGGTGGGTTTGAGCAAACTCTCTGCACCTGTCCCGTTTGGTTTCCGCCCATGTTAGATGAAGCCGTGGTGGCCGTGTTGGTGGTGCCCGTCTCGTGGGTCTCACAGGGTGGGTTTGAGCAAACTCTCTGCACCTGTCCCGTTTGGTTTCCGCCCATGTTAGATGAAGCCGTGGTGGCCGTGTTGGTGGTGCCCGTCTCGTGGGTCTCACAGGGTGGGTTTGAGCAAACTCTCTGCACCTGTCCCGTTTGGTTTCCGCCCATGTTAGATGAAGCCGTGGTGGCCGTGTTGGTGGTGCCCGTCTCGTGGGTCTCACAGGGTGGGTTTGAGCAAACTCTCTGCACTATGCTAGCAGGAGCAGTACCCATACTTGAAGATGCTGTGGTTGCTGTGTTGGTGGTGCCTGTTTCGTGGGTCTCACATGGTGGGTTCGAGCAGACCCTCTGAACACCACCCATGTTGGCAGATGCTGTTGTGGCAGTGTTTGTTGTACCTGTTTCATGCGTTTCGCAGGGCGGGTTGGAGCACACCCTCTGTACTGTGCCAGCTGGTCCAGTGCCCATATTTGCCGTCGCTGTGGTGGCCGTGTTAGTGGTGCCCGTCTCATGAGTCTCACAGGGGGGGTTGGAGCACACTAGAGTAACAGTGCCAGAAGCTTCGCCTGCACCAGACTCAGTAGAGGTGGGCTGCTCAGACGTGGGAGAGGCCAGAAAGGAAACGGGCAGATCTTGGCCAGGCTGAGCCTCCACACCAGTGGGTGTAGTAATGAGAGTCACCTGAGTGGGCTATTTAGAAAGGATGACAATTTGTGACTACAAATAGTTTATTTTTTCAGTGAATTTAATTTAAATATTGTGTAAAACTGTTCATTTTAAATGCAGCATTTTTTTGCATCCTTGTAGTATTTTATATCATTATCTCTTTATAATTCTTTCTGTTATAATACATTTAAGTATACTACAGTTCGGTGTACATTTTTTTAAAGAAATACAATTTATATTCAGTAAGGAGAGAAAAGACAAACTGGTTTTAACCTGCATGTTGGAGGTGACAGTGGTCAGATTGGTCTGAGCAGCTGACACAGCAGTGGCATTGATGACCTGGTTGGAGAGGGTGGCAATCGTCCCCAGAGTGGTGATGGGGTTTGACAGAGTGGCATTGGCACTGGCTAGGCTTCCTCTAGCTAAGCTAGTAGAAACGGTTCCTGTGACTGTGCCAAGAGTTGTTACACCTTGGAAAGAGGACAGACACAGCGAGAGGAAAATACTTGAATCATTCATCAATAGCAGTAGCTGAATTGCACTTGGCAGAGAAGCATGAAGTCTTTTAGGAACATTAACTTTTGACTATCAAGTTCACATCCTTACCAGTTGTTCCCTTGACAACCAGCGTGGTTACAGTTGGCTTGACCCCAGATACTGGAGACACGAGACGCACTCCTCCCATCGGCATGGTGCGAAGAATGGTTCCAGGCTGACCAGGGGCTCCCTTTAGAACAACCTTAGGAGAGGAAACACCCAACCCAGGTAAGAAAACAGACCTTCAAGTGCTCCAAGGACATCAGCTTTTCATCATTTTTGCACCAGATATTATGGCCCCAATACCTGTGTTAGGCCTTGCTGGCCACCTGCTGTACCAATCTTAGGCATTGCTGTAATAAATTTTCCAGGAGTTCCTGTTCCAGATGTCATCACCTTCGTGGTGTAGATGGTAATGGGGCTCTTCATCCCAGTACTACTAGTCACGCCTAGAATGGAAAACAGGCACTCATTAAGTGCAAGTAAATAAAAATCTATTACTACTAATAACTATTATTATTAGTTGTGAACATTAAGATTTATAAAAAAATTAAATAATACATATATAAATTAACTGGTCTGCACATCCCAAACACCCAGATTGGGCTCAGGTGCAGGACAACAAAGTAACAAGCGGAAAAAAGAAACTATCAATTGCACAAATTATTAATTAATTTGGAGCAGCTATTTTCAGTGTGTGAACTTCATGCTTCTTTTTTACATGCATAAATTAAACAAATAAATATAAATGTATTAGAATTGCAACTAATTGTTATAAATATTACTTTACTTGTTAACAGTAATAATTTAATGACACTTAAATATGAATAAAATTAATGCAGCCATTTAGTATTATTACTACTAATAGTAATTATTATAGCTGAAGTTAACAACAATAATAATATAACTGACAAAATATAAATTACTACCTCTCCTACTACTTCTAATTATTAATATTTCTTTATTCTGGACAACAAAACACAAAAATCACTAGGGTTGTTTTTTTTTTTCGATGCTGGTGCCAAAGTGATACTTTTAAAACGGTACAAAACGTCAATTCATCCATTTCTCCCGAAATACTTAAAAGTGAAATTTGAGAAGAATAGAGTAAATTTTATAGTTACCTACACAATGTGCATCTAAACACGTCATCAATTTATATCAGAGTTTTGAAACGATAAAAATGACACTTCTAGACAAAATGGTTTACCTGCAGCTCCCTGCTGTAGAGCAGACATTGGGATTGTTTTAATGATAGTGGTAGTGCCCGGTTTGTTGGTTGTGGGGGACATGCCACTGATGCCCAAGATAGTGGGCTTATTTCCTGTGCCACCGGCTTGACTGGTGGTAATTATGGTAGTTGGTTTTCCATCCGCAGATGTTACCAGCTTCAGAATGGTGCCGGGTGGAAGGGTACCCTTTGACTATGGAATGAGAATGATGTTAAAATTTATATTATTTCAAATGATAAATAATGTGAGTGTTCGAGAAACTTAAAACAAGTTAGTTAGTTTTGTTTAACATACTTGCAAAATCTGAGCCAGAGGGTTGGAGGAGGCCTGTCCAGTCAAAGCAGCTGTCTGGACTGGTTTGGTTTGTACCATTGACACCATCTTGCCCAAGTTAGAGATCTAAAACAAACAATTTTTGAAAATTAAATAATAATGTCCATTCAATGATTTTACCATTCATGGTTTTCCCATGCCAGAATTTAAAATATACTGTACCAAGTTTCCGCCCATGGAAAGTGGACTCTTGACTAGAGTGATGGTCTTGGTGACTCCGCCCACCATAGTGGTCACAACCTGAGCCTGCTGTGCTACAGTAACTGTGCCGGACTTGTGCACTGTGATGATGGGTCGAGCACCTGTATTTGAACTGGAAACTGTCGGAGTGCCCACCTGTGCAGCGGCGGTCTTCAGCATGCGAGTGGCAGGGTTGCTTACCTACAAAAAAAAAAATTGAGTCATGAGACTAGGGCTGGCCGATATGACTGCAGACGAGCAACGTGACAAATTGCCACATATATAGAATTTAACTGATGTGTGGTCACATACTAGCTTATGCAAATTTTGAATTCAGCTCATCCAATCAAAGCTTTGCAGTTGAGTGTTTTGTTTTTGAACTCAAACATTACAGAATGTGATGGTATGCTACCTTTCAAAAATAATGGGTTTCGCAAGCAAATAAATACAGTAAAATAGCTAAATAACTATTTTAATTAATTTATTCCTGTAATGGCAAAATGTCATTACTTTAGTCTTCAGTCACATGATCCCTCAGAAATAATTCTAAAATGCTGATTTGGTGCTCAAGAAACATTATTACCAATGTTGAAAACAGTTGTGCTGCTTAATATTTTTTTTTTTTAAATATTTACATGCAGTGTGAGACATTTCAAGCCTTTATTTGTTATAATTTTAATGATTATGGCTTGCAGCTTATGAAAAGCCCAAATTCAAAATTAGAATACTGTGAAAAGGTTTTCATAGCATATATCCATTCAATATTATCCACATTATCTTTCATCTACAAAAGCATCATGAACTTTTGTGATCCGTTAAAGATGCAATTATGATGAAGTAGTATGTCCCAAAGCTTGACAACTCTTCTGCTACACACTCAAAAGCATCCATGTTTCTTCACAACAGTACATACTTGTAGAGCACAGTATAAGGCCCCGTTTACACGAAGGGAAAACGCAGATAATTCCCTGCGGATTGGCCTCTCGTTTACATGAAAACCCCGTTTTTATCACAGAAAACGATTATTTCTAAAAACTCCGGCCAAAGTGGAGATTTCTGAAAACGCCGGTTATGCGTTGTCGTGTGAACTGGGAGAAACAGCGTTTTAAGTTCTCTCTTGTCGATTCTGAGGATTCTGATTGGCTTGTGTGGCTTTATCCTTAACCCCTATACTGCCGCCAATAGGTTAGGCATGGTTATGATGGCGCTCGTCGGCGTATTTATGCGGGTGTGTGAACGATGTTATTTTTGAAAACGGAGAGGGGGAAAATATTCGTTTCGCTAAATACCAGGCTTTGTGTAAACGTGGCCTAAATAGGTGAATTGGGATGCAGCAACAGTGACAATCTTAAGATAATTACCATGACAGGTGATGCCACTTTAACTGTGGTGGGGTGAGTGGTGGACCCAGGTGTCATAGCCATTGTTTTGACAATTGTAGCCCCAGCCGGCATACTGAGAACAGTGGCTCCGGGGGAAGGAGGGATTTTCTGTGTGGCTGCAGCAGCTGCAGCCAAAGCTGCCATTCCACTCATCTGGGGGCTGCTGCCGATGACCTGGAAAAAACAAAAGATTAAACACACTTGAATGAAACAATTTATGAGGTATCAAGGGTTTTAAAGATTCCACCTTTACTATTTGCTTCATACCGTTCCTTGAGTGGTCTGTGGTGGCACTACCATGCGAACACCTGCAGGAAGTGATGTCACAGTGACTGGGGATTTTCCAGCCTGGCTGGCTTGGCGCACAGTGACAATCGATGCCCCGGTGCCTGACTGAGGGGCTGCGACTTTCAGAATAGCTTGAATATAAAATAAAAATCGTTAAATCATCATTTGATATTACAAAAGCATTCATTTAATATTACATTTAAGTAAAGTGAAAACATTGCTGAACAATTTAACGAATTTGTACCTGGGCCACGAGCCGTTGAGGCAGCCAGAGGACTTGCGGGCGTGGTGGGTAAAACTGAGGCAGTGGGTGAAGCAGCCTGGGGCACGAAGGTGATGCCACTATGAGGCAGACTCTGAGCAGACGGAGCAGCTGCAGCGGGCGCTGGACTCTTAGGCGAGTTTCCAGGGAGGGAGGGAGCTGCATTGAGGGCTGGTGATGTGGCAGCAGTCGCTGTTGGGATATCATATTTCTGAAGCTGAAGCAGGTACATGTCCGCTGTAGACACCGCTCCCCAGCTAACCTCTAAAGAATTTGTGTTGGCCCGGACGAGCTGTACCCGTGAAGGAGGATTAGGTCGCTCTGCAAAAAAGAAAACGAAAAAAATAAAATAAAATAAACTCAAATTATGCATGATTTAACACATTCAACTTATGCAAAAAATACTACTCAATATGTAACTTTTTATGCATTTGGATATATTTACAATGCAGTTTAACTGCGTCAGAAATGTCTGCTTTACTCACCCGTCTCTAGGTACCACAAGTCTTTGCAGCACACCTGATTGTTCCAAGCTTTGCGGTACCCATCACGTCCACTCCAGACATAAAGTCTGTTGTTAATGGCAACAGTGCAATGTCCTGCTCGTGCACGTGGTATGTTGTCCTCCAAGGTGTCCATCAAAACGGTCTCCCATGACAAGGCATCTAAAAGAAATCTCATTTTTTTAATTTTAAAGTATTTGGCATAATATGAAAAAAATGCATTAATAAAATGGGGCACAGTAAAATAGTCCAAACATTTCACACACAGGAATGTCATGTTACCAAACATTAAAGTACCAGTACCATTCAAATGTTTTAAAGAAATTCATACTTCTATTCAGCAAGGATGAATTAAAATGATAAACATTGACATTTATGTTACAAAAGATTTCTAGCTAAAATAAAAGTTGTTCTAATCTGAACTTTATGTACATCTTCATGTTTACACAGTTTTCAACAGGAATAGGAAGATGTTTCTTCAGCAGCAAATTAGCTTATTAGAATGATTTTCTGAATGATCATGTGTATAATAACAGACCTTTAGTTAAATAAAGTACACTAAATGTACTTTATAGCAAGAACATACCCAAGTTCAGGCAGGCCAGCGTGTTTGTACACTTCCATTCCTTCTCATGTGTGGCCACCTTCACATCATCCATCACCAGGGGAACCCAGCCACCGAAAACATACATTCTATAAATAAAACATATAAAGGGATTAAAGGTCAGTAATGCCACTGTGTACATTTAGAGAATGCATGTGGTGAAGCAATTCTAGATTACACTGAAACTTACTTGTTTGTAATAGTGGTGGCTGAGTGGAGGCTACGGGGGAGGGGAGCAGTGCCGCTTATTGCAGGCTTGTTCCAGGTCAGCGTATCTGAAAAGCAAAGAATGGCCTAATTATTGCTTAACCCAATTGATTGAATTAACTATTTGTGGCAAACACAGTCTTAATCTTCATACCAATATCTAATGTCCAAAGATCTCCCAAACGACAACCACTCATTCCTCCATATATAACAAGACGGGACTTCTTAGTAGTTTTTTCAGTATAAATTACAGCAGTGTGGCTCTCTCTTGGAGGAGGCAGTACTCCATACGTGACCGGTATATCCCAGCCCACAACGTTGGAGCCCGGACGCAGTTCGAGGGTATAAAGGTCATTCAAATATCTGGAAGAACACATAATTGAGTCTATGAATAAAACAATATAAATACATTTATTTACTAACCACATTATTATACGGTAGGAATACCTGGGAATGTTGTTCTTAGGGTCTTCGCTGTCATTGGCAAGCCCCCCAAAAAGATAGCACTTGTTGCCCACAAGAGAAAAACTGTGACCCAGACGGGGACATGGTGGTGCTCCATTTTTAGGGGCTTTTGGTTTCAATTTTTTCCATTCCCACCTGCTTGCCTGATAATTGTAACCATAGCGAGAAAATTTCAGATCTGTACTCACAGAGTCAACATCAATCGATAAAGGCTGGACTACACAACATGACTTAAAATCTGAGCAGATCAGAAATGAGGATTGTACACTACCAGACTTTCAAGTCATTCCAAACACAAACTCGCACAGATGCATGCACCAGCATGGGTATAAGATGTATAGCAAATAAAAACAATTTTAGAAAAAAATTCAATCAAACATTCTTGATATCCGACTGGATGGAATCATAGTCTGAAGGTGAAAAAAATGGATCTTTCATATACTATGCGATTTTATGTGAAATCAGTCAATCGACTGCCCAAAATCAGCAGACCAGATATGACTTTCGACAACTAGCGTCAACCCCTCAATTCTATAAACCTAGGCAAAAGTCATGTAGTGTATTCCAGCCTTTAGTCACATAACAGAGTGATTTTAAAGAAGTTTTTCCTTACCTGTAACTCATAAAGGTCATTGCTGTACTTTCCATATTCCACCATTCCACCAAACACTAATAGTCGTGTACCATCACATACAAAACCATAAGCCGCACAGCCTGGAGGAATGTCTCCACGAACAGCTGGTATGAACCACTGGTTTGTTGCTGAAAAAGAAAAAAAATATTGAATTGTTCAGTCAATGTCTTGGTGATAAGGTGTAGATGACTTACAATAAAACTCTCTTGCAATTCAGCTTATCTGGAAGTGAAGCCAATGTCAATAAAAATCACTTCAAAAATGTAAAGCACTTTTTAACTATCAAAATAACAAAATGGAGAGTAGGACACAATTCTGAGAAATGGGGAGGTTCGAGTTTGGTGAACGGTAATCTCAGCCTCAGCCCATGGACTGTTGGCTGAACGTCTGATGCATATGACACGTTTCTGGAAACACTTACGGAGTTACGTCACGCTGTGATCTCTAAAATGAATTAGCAACATATTTTTCTGTATTGTGAGGTGAATCCAAGTAAAAGATTATTGAAACAAAAAATAATAATAATAATAATTTATGGACATATCAATTAAACTAGAAGTTTAAAATATTTTAAAAATTAAACATATGCACAAATGGATTGTTAATAATAAGATCTATAACATGCATTTAAAAAAATCATTTTATGGCAAATTAAAAGTGCAGGTAACTAAAAACATTGTAACATTCCAGTAATTTGGAGTACATTGTATGTTTTATATAAAGTTTTTTTTTTTTTTAAACACTGAATTTAAGTTTTTTAAAAAGGCGCCACAGAGAGAAACATGTCGTTCTTTGCAGTGTTTAAAGAAATTTTGCTCAAGTTTAGTGAATCTGCCTTCAGAATCGAATTACAAAAGAATTTTACTGAATAGCCACTCAAAGAAATACAAGAGTCACAGAGGAATTGTGTTGTTGGCTTCATTAGGAAGACTGAGGTAAATAAGAGCATTCTGGAAATCAATTCTTCTTCCACTATGCCCCATAAATGAAAGTTAATTTATAAAATGCAATTTATATATTAGAATAGAAAGCACTTTAAACGTTTTAACACTCTAATTTCTTGAAAAACCTAAGGCATCTAATTCAAGGTCTACTGCAGCCATTTCCACATTATTGCTAGAGTCATTGTGGGCTAAAACAACCAGTACTCGGAGAAAGATAACAAAAAGACGCTCTGGTGCACGTGCAGGAGGGGCGTGCGCGTGACGCGGCGGCGGTCAACAACATGGCGCCCTTTTCCCTCACAACAACACAACTTCAACAGAGTCGACATGCAGTCTGCAGACCAGACGCGGCTCTGAACCACCACAAACATCGCAAAAATCACACGGAATGTTTCATTTACATATATGTAAGCAAAATTGACAGTTTTCTCCGTAAAGTAAACATGTGACTATTGCTACGTCTTCATCCTCTCGCGTTAGAAAAAGATACAAAACAGCACGTTTAGCAGTGATTTGCAAGCATTGTGTGACGTTAGCGTGTGTATGCATAAGTTACAAACTTTCCGCACAAACAAACATTTTACTTACCAGTATTATAAACGTGCAACTCGTCAACGATTCCTTCGTTTCCTCCACCGAAAACGACCATCAACTCCTTGATGGCTACGGCTCTGTGTCCGTGTCTCGGTCGGGGTACCGGCCCGGACCACCCCAGAACCCGCTTCCATCGCGGCTGCAGTGCAGCTCCGGTGGTTCCAGGCACAACGGAACCGGGGGACGTCATGTCCTTTTACTGGAAAAAAGAATGGACATCAGCGACTCCTAGCCACAGATATACTCGTTCTGTAAGCCTAAGCCAACGCAAATGTTTAACACAAGACCCTGGTATGTTAAATACTTTCTGCATAAATATATATTTTTAAACTGTAATAACATTACAACGGTACAATCAAAGACTTAAACTGTAGTGGTTATTCAGAAGTTTGATTAATTTGGAATGCCGCCATTTTGGCGCTTGTAGGCGGACTAAAAGCCGGTAAACTTGTCTAAAATACCGCGTGCAGCAGCGTAAGCATCGATAAGTACACAAAGAAAACCACATAGCACTAAGTTAAAGTTCCAAAGGCAAACAACAAAATCACATCATCCAGTTAAATGTCCCTGGTGCAGAATAGTATCAACCCATGGAAGTCGCCATCTTGAAACAAGCCTCCGCCAGTCTGAAAAATGGCGGCGCGGCAAATAAAAACAATACATTTTAGTCCGCTAAGTAGCAAATGCAAATAAACTCTATACGGGCTGCTGGAGTTATGTTTTCTAAAATATAATTTAGTGAAACGCTGAAAAACTAAACAAAGGTTCAAACTCAGAGACCACTTGAAACCCAGTCACCATTTACTGCAGAAGGCTATTTTCATGCCTCTCTGGGAGTCGCCATCTTGTCAGCCGCTCAAAATAGCAACAATAATACATTTTAAACGTGCGATTTTACTCCAGTACAATGCAGATTCAGAAAATTGACCGAGTTCTGCAATTTCCAAGCGGTCTGGGAATTTAAGCGATACTTTTAAGCGTGCATGAAATCATGCAGCGGAATGCGGTTAACGTTACTAGCAGCGCAACAAAACAGACATGTTTAGTTATGTTGTCACGTCCACAAATAAATACATAAGCGCAAATACATCCCGATACATACTGTGAGAAACAATGTTTGAGCAAGTCTCCTACGAGCGAAAAATATCGATGGGTGAATTTTTATTTAATTCATGCCGCCCCGGTGTAAGCAGCCATCTTGTCGCTAAATCAGCCCACTAGCAGCTCCCACAAGAAAAATGGCGGCTAAGTTTATGTTCGCTATCAAAAAATACACATTTCGGCTTAATGCAGTTTCTTCGTCATTGATCATACGTACGAGAGTCGTATTGCAATATCCAGGGATAACTTTTGACTGTCTGTTTTTGAGATGATAGTCCAGGTTCATCCAAATTTGTTAAGAAGTATCCACTCTCATGCCTGCCTGGAAGCCGCCATGTTCTTGACAATGTACAGCCGCTCCTGCAGCCACCCGCAACAAATATGGCGGACTTTCCACGTCTTTAACTAGAGCTCTTTGTGAAACACTCACTTGCAGTTTAGAAATACAATCCTGCATTTCTTTAGCGATAGTTTTATAATTATTAAACCATTATATGTATGTAATTGAGACTAGCTAAAACTATCGAGATAATTTGAACATATTTTTACGCTTTATGTATTTAGGGCTTATTGTCCCACACTAAAGATGGCGACCTAAGTCGAGCTTTATTGATAGATTTTCCTCTCTGTTGCATTTTCGTGCAATCCACAAATGCATTGAATATGTCTCACTTTATCATCTACATAAAACCTATTTTTTTATTCTTCCTAAAATTCAAACTTTGTTTAAAACTCTTTCAAATTCTTAAACTCTTGCAAAACCACTTTTTTTTGAAGGGCATAAAGCATATTTTTAAGAACTTTTGAATAAATGCCTCAGTCTTCAAACTAGAGTGGCAAACCAGAGGCAGAATTTGAAAAAAAATTCTTGTTTTTTTTAACCCATCAACTGTCACCCTCCTTTTTGTGCATAGAAATGCATTTCTATTTCATGAAAATGCTCAATCCTCCTAACTTAAATGCTTGTAATTCATGAGTGCTTTGGAATCCTAAATTTGGTCTCTTTTTCAAGAAGTCACTCAGCAGCATTTCTAAGATGTAAAAAGTACTGTACTAAATGTTTATATTTTATAAAAAAAATATGTAGGCTCTTTTACAAATAGGCTATCTCTTACCAAGTTTTGTTCCAAATTTTAAGCTGATATCACAAAACATAAAGTTCCTATGAGATTTTGTTTGCTATACCAAAAATAGCCAGACATTCCATTGTTTTTTAACGTGTTCTCCTGTAAATGTATACATTTCTGTCACATGTATCACAAAACAGTCATCAAATATGGAACTTTGAAACTCAGACCTTTCTGACCATATTTGTTTTATCAAGATTAGAAAATGTAAATATTTTTTGTAATATGAAATTACCATGCCCACTAAGGGGAGGAGCCCAGTTTTAAAGTACAGTTTTCACGAACACGCAATGTTGGATATCAATATGGGTTTCACAGGATAAGCTTTGAATGATACATAATTTATGATGATTACTAAAATATATGATCGGAAAAAAAAGGCAATAAAAAAAGAGAGTCAGAGAGCTAGCTATAGGATGGTATCAAAATGTATTGCAGTGTTATTATGAGCGACATCCATTGATGTAATGCCACAGAGATAAGGATGGGGGACATATGATTTTTTAAATCGGATTGTACGTTAATATTTTTTTTTATTCTTAATATAAACTACCATTCAAAAGTTTTAGGTTTGTACGATTTTATAATATTTTGTAAATCTGTTTCTTGCTCACCAAGGCTGCATTTATTTGATAGAAAAATACTGTAAAAACAGTAATATTGTGAAATATCAGTACAATTTAAAATATTTTCTTTTTTGAATGTATTTTAAAATGTAATTTATTCCTGTGATTGCCAAGCTGAATTTTCAGCATCATTACTAAGTCTTCAGTGTCACATGATCGTTCAGAAATCATTCTTATATGCTGATTTTGGACTTAGGCGGAGATGGTGCTCGACAACCAAGGTGGATTTGGAGAGAGGAGCTGAATGGGTGGAGACACACAGTTAGCAGGTGCAGGCAGGGTGACTGCGGACCAAAGTGGAGCTGGAGGAGGGAGCCTTGTGGAGCCACAAGGCTGAGCGTCTGTGGCAGTGCCAAGGCAGTGCCGACAGGTTGTCGGGTCGAGGGGGAGCGAAGGAATCTGAGGGGGGTGACAAGGCGAAGCTGGAGGACTGGCTGAGCTCTGCGGTGAAGGTGAGAGAGGAAAGATGGATAGGATCAATGACGTACATTTTTAGCCCATATATTTCGGTGGCACCGGAGATGATGATGAAATCAATGATTCAGCGTTGGGTTGGGTGGGAAGCAGTCTCTGAATTCAGGACTATTAGCCAGTCCTCCGTGTCCAGTTCCGCCAGGATTCCATCTGTCATTGTGGTTGCCGGCTCAGGTCAGACTTACATTTAGGCGTTGGGGTGACGGTTGACGCTGTCGTCACAGGCCACTCAGGCTCCGTGAGGGGCTCCGGCAAATTCTCTAGGGTGGTGGTGGGCTGGGGTCCGGGTCTGGCTGTAGAGATACAGAACTGAATGACTAGTAGTTCCTGTGAGAACAATCAGTGTCCTAGAAACTAATGAGTGGAATGAAACTTTACAAAGGAACACATATGACTGAAAATAACAAACTAAAAGTCCATGAAAATTAAACTAAACAGAACCGTGACATTGTGAGCATAATTGCGTTAGATATGATAATCAAAACTATGTTTTGGCTGAGTGAGTTTCTAAGCATGAGCTGTAAAGTCACAGTGACAGCGTTATTCTGGATAGTGGGCGCCGCGGTGAGCAGCTGCTCATTTGCATTTAAACATACATGCACGAAAACAGCATGTTTTTGATTCAATTTAAAAATGGGCATTTCCAACATACAGTATAATAAATGAACTGTGGGGTATTTTGAGCTGAAACTTCACATTCTGGGGACACCTGAGACTTGCATTTACCTAAAGGCTTATAGGAACACCATACTAATATTGTGTTTGACCCCCTTTCGCCTTCGAACGCCTTAATTCTACGTGGTATTGATTCAACAAGGTGCTGAAAGCATTCTTTTGAAATGTTGGCCTATATTGATAGGATAGCATCTTGCATTTGATGGAGATTTGTGGAGTGCACATCCAGGTCATGAAGCACCCGTTCCACCACATCCCAAAGATGCTCTGTTGGGTTGAGATCTGGTGCTGGTTTGGGCCATTTTGTACCACCACCAGCAGCCTGCACAGTGGTAACAAGGTATGATGGATCCATGTTCTCATTCTGTTTATGCCCAATTCAGACTCTACCATCTGAATGTCTCAACAGAGATCGAGATTCAGACCAGGCAACATTTTTCAACTTCAACTGTCCAATTTCGTGAGCTCTTGCAAATTGTTGCCTCTTTTTCCTATTTGTAGTGGAGATGAGTGGTCCCCGGTGGGGTCTTCTGCTGTTGTAGCCCATCTGCCTCAAGGTTGTGCATGTTGTGGCTTTACAAATGCTTTGCTGCATACCTCGGTTGTAACGAGTGGTTATTTCAGTCAAAGTTGCTCTTCTATCAGCTTGAATCAGTCGGCCCATTCTCCTCTGACCTCTAGCATCAACAAGGCATTTTCGCCCACAGGACTGCTGCATACTGGAACTGGATGTTTTTCCCTTTCCACCATTCTTTGCAAACCCTAGAAATGGTTGTGCGTGAAAATCCCTGTAACTGAGCAGATTGCAAAATACTCAGTCTGGCACCAACAACCCTGCTACATTCAAAATGGTTTAAATCACTTTTCTTTCCTATTCTGACATTCAGTTTGGAGTTCAGGAGATTGTCTTGACCAGACCACACCCCTAAATGCATTGATGCAGCTGCCATGTGAATGTGAACTGCCATGTGAATTGAACAGTTGTTCCTAATACTTCAGGTGAGTGTATATTACATCTTAATAAGGGACATATAAGATTTAAAAAAAAAATGTTTACATTTAATTAACTATTAAAATGTTTATTAATAATTATTTATTTATCTATTTTTAATAATTGAGTGCCAGTTATAAATTATAATAATTTATCAGCAAAACTGCATATCAGCATCAGCAGAATTATTTCTGAAGGATCATGTGATGACACTGCTGAAAATTCAGCTTTGCCATCACAGGAATAAATTACAATTTAAAAATATTTAAATAGAAAACAGTTATTTTAAATTTTAATAATACTAATAACTTTTTACAGATTACACAGATTTTATTTCACCCTACAAATATGCAATCTTATGATTTATTGGTATTTCAACTTTTGCAAAGAGGGACTTCAACTCGAATGAAAAATCAACCAGATGATTACTGGAATTAAATATAAGTAGTTTACTTATCCTAGAAATTAATTATTCATATATTTTTTCCCCTATTTGGGTTGTTATTGATTGCAATTTACATCTGAAATTGCATAATTTAATCTTTAAATTAAAATTTACCAAAATTTTGATCTAACTTGTGACATGTTTTATTTAATTTTCAAAATTTCATTTTCATTACAGCAATAAACAACAGCACAACAGCAGTAAACTAATTAGACTATTTAACTAGTAAAAAAAAAAATACAACCCAGTATTGTCTAGTTCTTAGTTTTTTCTGTCTTTCAAGCTAGATGGCAGTGTAGCATCTCTCAGTTGTCCTGCAAAGCACCTGGTCTATCATCACAATTAGAGTACCTACTATCTAGCTTTTAAGACACAATGTGTCTGTAATGTTGTCCTCTTCCCTATTAACATTTTCCTGTAACATTTATTTACTGAAATAAACGAAAAAAATAAATACTTTGTTGTTGGCACAACTTTTCAGGCAATCAGAAGAGATAATTATTATTAAAAGAAATTGCAGGCATTGATGTTGGCAAATGTGCTGACAGTTTGTGTTCGTCTGAAACTAGAACATGTGACATTATTATTTCCCCCTTTTACTCTGTAATCTCGTATTGCTGTATGGGTTAACAATTACTTTACATTAACTGAGATTCAGGTTTTATACAGGTGGGAAATACAGACCTTTTCACAAATGATCAAAAGGTCAGAAAAAAGCTAAAATTGAAAAGTATACATTATATCCATGTAAAAATGTACCGAACATTTTTATGGACCCAGATTAAGCACAAAGTGTTTGCATTTCATTGCAGCCTTGTAGATGTCTTACAAAGAGGCTTGTGATTATTAACTTCATGTTACCCTCCTCCTTCTTCCGGACTTGTTGCTCTGTCAACTGTTAATCACTTTGACCCTTCAGTCTGTCTTTGACCTGATCCATTTCACTAAAATCCATTACGCAAGTGATGGAAAATTCTATGTTTGTCATGTGAATTTTAGTATTAATGTATGTTATGTCATGCC